TTTTCTCAAATCACACGTTGCACCGTTGATTTCTGACATGACACTTCATTCAGTCACTTGCCTTTTCTTTGGCATCTCCATTCTCTGACAATAGCAGCTGGTGCCCATTTTCCTCCTAAGTGATTCGCATTTTGCCACTTTAGTGAAGTGCAATTAGCTGGAGAAAAAAAAAAAAAAAAAAAAGCAAAAAAAAAAAAAAAGCTTGATGTGAAGCAGCATGGCTGAGATTGCACCATGGCTCCTGTACAGGACTTGCTTGGGGTGTTACAGGCATCTGTGCGAGATGCTGCATTGCCATTCCTTTCCACGCAGATCTCTTCTCCTCCTGCATTCAGAGATACAGGTGTGGGAATGAGTGCAGTGTCTTGCTGCTCCCTATTGATTTTGGTGCAGATTCTGAAAGTGAGCATGGTTTGTGAGAGGAAGTGTGGTCTTTATGGTCAGAGCAAGGAGCTGGGCTCCATCCCTCACTCTGTAGCCTGCTGTTGGCTTCTCACATGCACTTGCTTACAGGCAATGGTTCTTTGCAGCCAAAAGGTGAGGATAACAAAGTGAGATGTTTTGGGTCTGCATGCATATGGGTTAGAGGACCATGCTGGGAGACATCAGATGGATGGCCGTGTTAATGCACAGAGCACCTACGTATGCATAATGACATCTGCCTTGCTGCTGCTCCCACCAGTAGCCGTCACTAAAAATGTCAGCTGGTAACAGCCTGGCCTTTGTGGAAGTAGAACAATTCTCTTTTCAAGAAAAGAACTGAAAACTTCATGTGCAGGTGAAAGTGGGCTTTTGTGCTGGTGTATAATAAAGGTGCTCACTGTAATTATTGTGACTAATTACTGCTCTCATTGAAGCCACCAGTACAGCACTGAAATAGTGAATGATACTGTAAGCAGAGCTTTTTTTTTCCTGAGGTACGCTTGCAGATTAAGAAGTCTTGTCTTGGATTTCTGACCTCCTTTAGGCATTGACAGTAAGGGAAGAACAATTTCCTGAACCAGTTGTACGCACGGGCACATATGACTTGAACGGGAAGGCTTTCTTTTTTTAAGGCTATACGCTCTAATCAAATGTGGTTAATTTTTGCACTCTGCTTGTATATTGATACTGATTTAGCTAGTGTCAGCGCTGTCAATATCATTAGCAATGTGGCAGGTAGATGGAAATACGAATGTGATTGCATTAATGAATTCTTAATATATTCAACCTTCCATAAGCATACGGCATACAATTTGTTCGCTATTGTGTTAGGCCATTTTGAAGCTGGGCTGGGTTTTGAAGTACTCCATTGGTTTCCCTTTCTGCCAGCAGAAACTGGCTTCTGGTCTCGCTCAAAGACATAAGTTGGGAAGCGAATTTAGAAAGGATATGAGGAGTTGTACTACATATTGCGTATTACTAACAGTTTGCAGCACTCCGTGTAGTTCTTCGTGCGTGCAAATGTGGAATGCTTTCCCTGAAGTTCCTCAAAGTTCACCCGAGCTTTCCAGGTTGTTTGAAGACTTCCCTGGAGCTGCTGTGGCTTTGACTTAAAATATAGTAAAGGAAAAAAACAACCCCACCAAGGCTTTAAAATAAATACTGCACGTTTTTATATGACACATGTTATTTCTATTCATAAACCTTAACTAAATTTAGATTTTTATTAATCCAATGTGACCTAAAAATTTTGCATTAACAGCACAATGTGGAATTGCGCTTATTCTCTTTGAATGCAGATAAAGCCATCATCTTGAAAATAGCTCTTTCTGACAAAAAGGTGTTCTTTTGAAATAAAGTCTTATTCACTACATTCCTCTTAGAGTTAATGTGAATTTTAGTGCCTCTAATTTTAGATTGAAGTGAGGTTTAGAATAAAATCCACCGGCTGACAATTGAATTTATAGATAGTTGTGAATATTTCAGGCTTGAATAATAGAGCTGTAGAATTTCAGACAGAGAGAGGAAGGGAGAATTAAGCTCCGACTGTAGTTTTAGACTATAATGTGGTGGTGTCTAGGAATTCTTCAGGGTAACGAGCTAAGTAGTAATTAGGAGGAGCAGAGGGAGGGGTTGTAGCCCAGGCACTACTCCAGGCGCTGGGTTGGTGATGCACTGGTGGCCCCAGCTGCCATCTACAAAAGGCCTCCTCAGCCTCTTCAGCCACAGTGCGGCAGCAGCAGAGCAGGTTGATGGATGCTGATGCTACCCATGGGTACACAGCCCTTTCCCCGGCTCCCTGCTCTAGGTCAGAGAAACCTTCTCTCCTTGAGACCTTGACTGGTGTTTTCTGCTTCCCATGGGAAGGTTAACATTTTATTGGCCTTACCTTGCCATCCTGCAGCAGGCCAGCCTGTGCTTTGGAAGCTGCAGCTTGATGCAGCCATGTTTTGGTCAGCACCAGAAAGCACTGCTCCAGGAGCATCAGCAGGCAAGCTTCAGCCTGCGCAGAGCTTCTGGTGTGTGTTCATGCTCACAAAACTGTGACCGCGTTTCGGTTCTGACCGCTTCGAGTGGAGACAACCGCTTCCGCACTGGCTAAAGCCAATACATTTGGACAACTAATTAATTGCAAATGGCTTTTCTAGGAAGTGGAGGGTGACTTTCAAGCTTATTATTGTGCAAATAAGGAAAAAAAGCAGAAGGAGAGTTTAGAGAGACAAGAATGTGCCATCAAACAGGGCGCAAGAGACAGTACGCAACAGGTCTCTTACTTTATTTTTGAGTCTTGTCCAGTGGAGTTTTGACAGGAGGGGAAAGAGAAAATCACCAGGTACCTGTTTATTCAATAAAAAGGACCTCACTGTTAGTGTAAAGAGAAACAATATAAAAAATAAGTTGTTGGAATGTGAAAGTTAATTGATAATTGTAATCATGGCTGTATAAAATTGTGTCAAAGAAAGAGGAGAGAGAGAGAGACAGTGCGACACCGTGTTTTAGTACCCTAATAACTTCTAACTCCAGTCTAAAATCGTAATGTATGTGAGAGCGGTCCAGTAATTATAAGGTAATAAGTGGAGTGGTGGTGTAAGTGCTCTAAATTAAAAGGAATTTGCAGAGCTGCTGTAAGTCAGCGCCGACCCGCTTTCTTTCAAACGTTGACTTGAGAAAAGTGCTTAGCCTGGAGTGCAAGTAGAGAGACAAGAGAGAGCTATCTATTAATTACAGCACTCATTAACAGTGACGGCTACAAGGCAGCAGATGCCGAAGAAAAGGCACACGGTACCGCAGGCTGGCAAGGGGATTTCCCCCCCTCCAGTTCTTGAGGAAAGGACAACACAAGCAGGTGGTCCAGTGTAATAAGATATTTCCACAGCTTTAACCTTCCCATTTCCTTGGCTTATTTGCTGACACCAGATAGCATGTTTCTTCCACCTTCCCAAATAAGTACAGATTTTAAGTTTGGGGGTGAGATTTCTGCACATCAATCTGGCCACTATCCAAATTCACATCTAGCTTATTTTCAATAGTATTTTCCAGTAAAATGTCCAGTGATTGAGAGATCCTAAATAATTCTGATGGGCACTGATTTTTATCATAAATCTTATTCTAAGCAAGTACTTGTGAGAAATGGTCAGGCTTGGATCTTGATTGCACTCATTGGAAAATACAACAAGTCTCTGGATTTATGTCTGTTTTCCATTAGTTTCCATTTGATTCTCGAGCTTGAAGTAAAAATTATACGTAATACATATGCATCCAATACTTACGCATTTATATTTAACATGCAAAAAGTTGAATGAGTGATGTTGAAATCTCAAAACTGACTTGAGAAAGTTACTTTGTCAGATTGTCTGTACTCAAGCGCTTGCTTTGAGATCATGAGTCTGTACCTCCAGGTGGGTGGCCTTATGGAGTAGTTGCATTTCTGCTGAAAATGATTCTAGAGAAATGCTCATAACTGTCATCTGTACTTGGCAGCTTCAGATGCTACGGTCAGGAAAATGCTGGGTAGGCCATTTGCAACTGTGATCTCATAATCACAGCTGTAGAAATTGAAGATGGTATCTGATTCAGAGTTTTCAGATTATTATTTTTGTTCTTTATTCTTTCTAAAACGCATTTAAAAATAATATCAAACTTGGGCACAGAACACACAAGATTTTTTTCCTCTATAAAAAGTACTAATTTACTGGCTCAAGTATTTTATGGTTTTGTTTCAGATGCTTAATTCTGAAAAGGTGAAAACTGAGATAGAATCTCACCTTCTGAAAGACAAAACTTCTATCTAAAATTTCCTCTAATATATTTCTTTAATCCAAGAATGGAACACGTAAAATGTCAGATCCTATAGAGCTGCAGATATATGGGATGCTGGCGTAGTTATTACTGGTTAGTCTGAGGATAATGGCTAGAAAGTAATTGCAGCCAGAGCTGATTAATCATTTCACTTAGATTTTGTGAAAATGGAGTCCAGCCTTAATTACTTGTTAGAGTCCCCAGTTGATGTGCTATTCAGTTACTAAATAGCTATATATATAATAAAGCAATATTAATAAAGAAAAAAACGCTTGTGGGAGACATGCTCTTCAATTCTGAGATCAGTTCAATGGATGATGGATACATGTTTTATTCAAGTGTGTTGACAAATATTAATCACAGAGCTAAACATACATATGCTCAAACTTGAAAATTCTTGTCCCTGATAATGATAGAATTTACAGAACAAAAAGCACTGGTGGAAAAAGAAATGTAATATTTTAGTAATCTAGTGGGATTTCAGGATGTTTTGACTCCCTGGATGACAAGTTCGGAATTTAGAGCCAATCTGAAGTTGACAGGTATCCTAAGAGGCAGGTAGAGGGGACAGCAGACGGGTTTGGTCTCTTAAAGTTTTTGTTTACTGCCTGTCTGGAGCTTTGACAAAGCTCTGTCGTGCCCTTATGCTGATTACCTTCATGTAGAACAAGAGGTATTGACTAATGAATGAATGATGTGCAGTCCCTAACCCTTCCAGAGCAGACCAAGCGAGCACTGTCTTTAATACACAGATTCCTTTCTCTCTCTCCCCGCTCCAGGCTTCTCTGCAGAATGTCAAGCAAAGATCGACACATTGATTCTAGCTGTTCGTCGTACATCAAGACGGAGCCGTCGAGCCCTGCCTCTCTGACGGACAGCATCAACCATCACAGCCCCGGTGGCTCCTCAGACGCCAGCGGGAGTTACAGTTCCACCATGAATGGACATCAGAATGGGCTGGACTCACCTCCCCTCTACCCTTCAGCCACGGGGCTTGGGGGCAACGGGCCCGTCAGGAAACGGTACGATGACTGCTCCAGTACCATCGCTGAAGATTCACAGACCAAATGTGAATATATGCTGAACTCGATGCCCAAAAGACTGTGTTTGGTGTGCGGTGACATTGCATCAGGGTACCACTATGGAGTGGCTTCCTGCGAGGCCTGCAAGGCTTTCTTCAAGAGGACAATTCAAGGTTGGTGATTCTTTAAACATCTTTTCCTCCTTCTGTTCAAAGCGAAGCAGTACAGTCCTTGATTACATGATGTTACGACTTCAAACCATAGCTTCTGATTCTTTGTAGTTTGGTCCTACAGATGCTACTCGTGAAAAAGCCCCTTTGGGCCTCGTTGTGAGGTCTGCCATGTTAAACTCATTGTTATGTTTATTTTGCTTATCAAAAATAGTAGAGCCATCCAGTATGTATTCAGTTCTTTTTTTCTGAAGGAGTTCCTCATGGATTCTCATCAATGCTGCCAAGAAAAGTGATTATTTTTTTTTAAGGTTGTTATGGATACTTCTTGAACACACCTTGTGGTGCACACAGATTATGCTTATGGGTTTTGCTCCTAGCTATACCACTATCATACTTAAATTCCTACAAAAATCCTGTATATCTTTATCAAACCACTAGTGCATTTTAGAATGGAACAAAATGTAATGCTGTAGTGTTTTGTTAGTGTCAGACTATTAATAAAGTGGCCTTTCACCCATACAATATACTGTGACCTTAACAGGTTCACCAAATGGCCTGTAAGATCACATTTTAAGGACAGTAAGTTGACAGCTTTTGGTCTCTGTAGAGTACCTTGTGTTAATCTGCTCCTGATACCTGTTACAAATATGCCACATATTTTGGCATAAATTAGTTTGAATGGAATAATTTGCACAACAACTTGTTCTAGCTACAGGACCAGTGGAGACAAAATAACCTTCTACTTTCATTTAGATATCATCCTTTCAAGTAAAATTGAAGGTGCTTTATTTAAAGAACATGAGGACAAGCTTGGCCTGTACAGGAATATGGTGTCACATTAAATTAAATTCAAACTTCAGAGACTAAAATTAGGTTGCTAAGTCCAAAATTAAGCTCCTCAATAAAATCTGCTTGATTTTCATAGATGCTGAGAACGTGGAATCCTCAGGAAAGGCACTGCAACCTGGTGGTATGCTTTGCTTTTTTAAAAAGGAGTTACAGTATGGAGAGTAAAGTTAGTTCCAGTTTGGAATTTCACATGGCTCTAAATTTGAAACACTTGATCAAAGTTTTTAAAATGTACTGCTTCCACATCTCATATACAGTTAGGAAACAAAAATAATGTTTTCTTTTAAATTTAGCCATTACTAAGATTTTTATTTTTTTTTTTAATTTATCATTTTACTCTCCACAACTAATTGTTGTAAGCATACTAAATCCACTACTCTGGGGGATTTGGGCCTTTTACCAGCATGAAACAGGCATTTCACGATGCCCATATTGCCACCAGAAAGAAACAGCAGAGCTCTGTGGTTATAATGGAGCTGATTTTTACGAAGTTTGCAATTAGTAAATAAACATACATTCAGAAATTTCTAGTTACTTGGGTTCAAAAAGTGTTTTTTGTTTGTTTTAAAAAAAGTTAATTTCATTTGACCTTCAAAAAATATTTTCAGGAAAGCTCAAAAATCTTCTGAGTGAAGGAATTTGTATTTGTGGGTTCTAAATTTCAAGTGGCAACTTCAGCTAGCTACTTTGATTTTATAAATGGCATTTAATTGCTGCGTAATAGCTATTCTACAGGACTGAATTAATGCATGATGATTTTAGTAGTATTTTGAGCATGAGAAAATTCATCAAAATCTCTAACTGAATAAAGCATTTACTTCTGGCTGTAATATATAGCCTGCAATTTTACACCACACCACAGACAGCAAGTTTCTGGGCATGGAAGCACAAGACAGAGACGTCATTCTCCAGATTAGCAACCTGGACTTGGCCACAAAGCTCAAGTTAGAACTGGCAGCTGCGCAAAACATCTCAGCAGGGTTAGAGCATTAGCTGCATCAGCAGGTGATGGTGCTGTGAAGACCAAAAAAAAATGCAGTGAGGCAAAACCTGGCATTGGATGGAAAAGCAGTAACAAAGATACCAAGAATAGGAGGTATGTTACCATCATAACGTCATGGTAGCTTCTTCAGAAAAGGTGCTGACTCAACTGATGCAGGCTTGAGAGTTTTCAGATACCATCCGAAATAATGGAAGCTACGCATCTTCGGTGAATCAAGCCATCATTTGTGTTAAATGACAAGAAGTAGATAAGATAAAGCTACTCCTTATGGTTTGAGTAGGCAAGTTCTGCCTTTGAGATTGCATGAGGAAAAATTCTCCTGAGTCTGATTTGCTATAAATGACAGAACTTAATATTTGTAGAGGTCGTTCTCCCCTTGCATTTTCTTGCTTGCTGATTCATAGCACATTCTTGTTCTGTTTGTTTTTAAAGCAAATTGATAGCTGAATGAGTACAAATAAGAAAACAGGAAAAAAAGAGAGAAATTTGTAAATACAGGATTGTAAAGCAGAGTAAAGAGAGTCAAATATTCTAACTACACGTATAAGCAAGAATAGCTTCTCTTAACTAAGAGTTGCTTATTTTAAATCTTAATAATTTAGTTGTGATATGTAAATAATTATAGATTCAGTGAAAACGAATGCTTCACTACCAGACCTTTCTTGCTTTATCATTCATAAGTTACTAAATTAGCTTAGACTTGCAGAACATTAGTGCTGCTCCTGTTGAGGTCATGAGCAAAACTGCCCTGACTTCAGTGAGAGCAAGGCTGAGCTGACAAAGTGTGACTGTGAAGCAGATCTTGTGGTCATGTCAGACTTGATGTCCTTTCCACTAAGTCAATGGGATTCTTTCCATTCTTTCCATTTCAAGGGAGACTTGTCAGATCTCAGTTGGTGAAAGCCACAGGCAGCTGTTCAGAGAACCAGCACAGTGTCTGCTCACCACTGCTACCTTACGTAAGGCAGGCAGGCAGGAAACACATCACGAGATATGGGTAGCCTCTTACAACAGTTCAGTTTCCCTCTAGTGTGGACTATACACCTGTTTTAAAAGCTAATGGAGGTTGTCATTCCCTTTCAGATGGTAGAAATTTAGTCCAAAAACTGTCAATTTCTGGCTGACAGATTTCTCTTGCTTCGTGCCTCTTGCAGTCCCTAGTTGTTTTCATAAAAGTAAAAGGAAAATGGAATGACTATTTTTTTGAATTACAAGAGAGGAATTTTTTCTGTTCTGAATATAAATCGTTTTACATAGCACGGAAATATTTAAACTTGGTGCTGTGAGAAAGAATGCATAGATAATGATAAAAAATCGGTAACAACAAATAGAAATTGCATGGTTTAAAACAAAACCCAGAGTAACAACAATAACAAAACAAAATCCACACATGAAACAGCTGACAGTGCAAAATCAGTGTATTCTTAGGTCATAGCAGAATCTAATGACGATCTGACCCCTCTTCTGACATATAAGGGCTGAGAGAACTGGATGTTCTTTCTGCTCAGCCTTGTCCTCAGCTGCAGCTCTCAGTTTGCTTCTGGGATAATTTACGTGATGGCTGATTTCAGATGTCTCACAGAAACACACACACAGCCAAATCTCTCCAAAATTGGCTTAGCATCAGGGATAGTAGAAAATAGCATGGCCTAAAAATAGTTACAGGACCATTGATTTTTATTTTTTTTTTAGGGTCTCTCCACAATTTTTGCTGTTCACTGTATTATCTGGAATCTAAGCTTTCATTGAAACAACAAAAAAAGAGCGAAAAGGATTTTCAGTTGTCAGCTGGGTGTAAAATCTTGTGTTCAGTACAGAGGTCTTGTAGTACTTACTATATATTTTATAGTGAATATTTAGTGTAAATACATTCCCAATCATTTTTATTTGCTCAGTTATTATGAAGACTAGTAAGTACATATTTTGCATTAATAATATGTAATTACTCAGTCCTTTGAGCTTAAACATTTCTACAAGTAGACTGAAATAGTTCTCTTGCCTTCAATAGAAGAACTGTGGGCGTTAGTTTACTATTATGTTTTATTTCAGTCTTTATCTCTGTGAAATAATGACCTCCATCTAGACAGCTTTCTTCAAGCTCTTCAGGATTATTGTCTTTACACTCCTTAGTATTATTGGCTTCAGACTTGCTTGAAAAGGCAGTGTGAAAGGCCTTAAGTATTGATATATTGCCTTCCTAGTAAGGCAATTTTTATTTTTATTTTATTTTTATTTCCTTGAATAGTGTTTAACTTTACCCCACAAAAGCTAAAATATTTTTGCATAGTTTGCAGTCATAGGCCTTCGGTTCCTTTGTTTATGTGTTTATTTTTGGGGAGAAAAAATATAGGGTTAGCAATCTTCTTTTTATACACAGGATGGATAAAGCAGTAGTAAGAAGCCTTGCAAGCCTACTTTCAGCTGTCTCGTTTAAGACCTTTATCCCTGAAAGTTGTTGCTTCTCCACATCTCCTACCAGAAACAAGAAACATTCCATCCTGGAAATAATTTAGGTCATTGTACTGTTATGTGAACTAGACCAAATCTGCCATTTCATTTCATGCTGGTAGTCTAAAAGCTCTCAGTGCTGCAGTTGTGCAGAAGTGTGTTTCCTGTGGTCCTCAAATCCTGCCCACTCTAGGATCAAGGTGAAGCTCATGTTGTCTAGGAGTGCTTTGTTCACTTGTTTTGAATATTCAGAATTATTTTTAATCCCTTTAGCGTTCAGGCTTTTCAGCCTTCTTTCCACTCTTTACCCATTACTGAACCAATTTGATCTGTAAATCTACAAATGCTTTTAAATTGTTATAATCAGGAGGTTTTAAACAGGGATGTTAGACCTAGCTATATTAATTCAGGCAAGATGACATTTCAGATGGGCAACATAAGTTTGATTCTAAGTTGCTCATGACTAAAGTGGCTTCAGAAAGTTAATTTACATCTCTCAAAGATAACTCTTGTAATAATATTGAATGTCATATTGTTGTGGAAGAAATCAGAGAAAATTAAGCTAGACTTCACAACTTTTCAACATATTTACTGGTAGCTAAGATTTGATTTTTATAGAAAAATAGGGTGGAAGCTTACATCTTGGTGCAAAGGTCTGTGGACTTTGTGGCAAGATGGCAGCTCTCCAATGAGCTTAACA